TGAGAGATGAGGTTAGGAATGGGAGGTATCGGAGCGGGCGATGGCTTTCGATGTGTTTTATTTGTGGATAAAGTGTGGACTGAATCTTGAGATTTAGTTTTTACGATGAGTTTTGTTGAAAAGCGGCGTTTAATTTAATGTCATTAAAACAAACAAACAAATGGTATAATTAATTAATTTAAAAATTTGACTAAAAATGTTGTGACAATATATTTGTGTTTTTCGCTCTTAATGTTTGTCACTTGTGTTTCGGTTAACAATAGATATCATTGGATATTATGTGTAACCGAAAGGTATTATTGATTATGTGGTGAATGGCATTCAATATCAGTTGTTTTGTAATACAAAAGACAATTTGAATTAATATTTTGTATTGTTTTTGTAATTTTATAGTTAATTGGATTAGATTTCAATAGATTAGAGGACGGGTTATAAATTATTTGTTGAGCTCTCTATATGTCCGGCAAATATATATCTCGTTATTATTAATTAAATATTAAATTAAATATACTTTTAGACAATTGTTTTGTTTTGTAATATTGTTTAACATATGAATTAAATAAATGTCTAAAATATTTCAAATTATATTAAATTAATAATAACTTATTTACAATAAATATAGGAATAAAACAAAATTAGTTTTCAGTTTGAAAATCCCTTTAAAGTTATAAATAGTTTTATAAGTAAATAGTCTTTTGTGTTGTTTTTTGATTTGAAATCTTCTCACAATTCATTTGATTGATTGTATGATTGAATTCATTATTTCAATAGAAAAACGCGTTTAAAAAATATATAAATAAATAAATTTTTCTTATAAAAAATATTTCAATTATAAAATGAATTAAAAATTTATAATTTTATATTTTAGTTATAAATTTGTCAAAACGATTAGTTTCCCTGATCTTCGCTATCGCTCGTTGTATCTGCAAAATGAATGGCAAAAAAATCATCAGTAAATCAATTCATACAACAAAATCAATGTATAAAACAAGTGCATCATATTCTTCGGGACCTAATCAATGGTACGGACAAACAATAAGTGGATAATTACCTCCTTTTTTGCCTAAATACTGGTGTTTCCTGAGCCGGTCGTAGAGGTCCTCTTTGGTGCCGTAAACTGAGGCCGGATTACTGATGCCCTGAAGAGTGGATCCGTTGCTCTTCCCATTATGCAAACTCTCCTTCATATACGTCTCGTTATAGAAGTTAGGCATTTCCCAGCC